GCTGGGCATTGCTCAGAAACAGGGAGCAGACATGGGAGACCGGGAAGACTTCAGTCCCGGGGCTGCCTTCGGTCCGTGGCCTTTCGCCTGACTGAGGCTGCTAACAGGGTTGACGGTTAGGGTTACGGCAGCAGAGGTTGAGGGCCGCGATGCTTGTGCTGGACCAAGAGCAGCGTCCACAAGTTGTTCAATTGATTAAGTCCTTCCATGCGATATTTCCTATTTCTCTAGGAACTGGAGGATTTTCAGCATCTAATAGAGAGAACTTAGATCATCAAGCCCAGCTCCCTTAGAGACAGCCTTCAAAAACCGAGTAAGTCCAGCACCCTTTTTAATGCTTAGCTGTTTACCCTTTTTTTTTTAAGTTGAGTAATTCTGGTTAATTTGTTGCATTAGAAATGTAGGTCTCATCTAGACTGACAGACACTAGTGCAGTAGCTCTCAGCTTCATTAAACTCAAGGCCCTGCCAGCATTTTCACTTGTTTTTTGACTATGCACAAATACTAGAGCAAAGATGCTAGGCCACATCTGGAGTCTTGTGTCCAGTTGTGGGGCCCCCACTGCGGAAAGGATGTGGGCATGTTGGAGAGAGTCCGGCAAAGGGTAACAAAAATGGTTAGGGGACAGGACTGGTGAGGAGAGGCAGAGGGACCTGAGCTGATTTAGTCTGGAGAAGAGCAGACCGAGGGGGATTGAATAGCAGCCTTCACCTCCCTGCAGGGGGGCTGCAAAGAGGATGGAGCTGCACTGTCCTCAGTGGGAGCAGATGACAGAAGGAGCAATGGGCTCAAGCTGCAGCAAGGGAAGTTGGGGTTTGATATTAGGAAAAACTTTCTCACTAGGAAGATGGTGAAGCACTGCAACAGGTTATTGAGAGAGGTTAAGGACTCTCCATCCTTGGAGGTTTTTTGAGGCCCAGCTCGACAAAGCCTTGGCTGGGATGATGTAGTTGGGGTTCATCCTGCTTTGAGCAGGGGGTTGGACCAAAAGACCCCCTTCCAACCCTAATTTTCTATGATTCTTCTGTTGCAGAGACCTTAAAGACCACAATAGAGCAAAATGTTTTTGATCCTCTGGATTCCTATTTGAAGTTTCTGAATTTATCTTGTGAATCCCAAGGTATGCCAATAGTGCAGAGTGCCCTTAAAAGGATCTCGCCACACCCTGGTTGAGAATCACTGCCTTACTGACTGGCGTGAAGCTGTGAGATAAAGTTGCACTCTCCTGAACAAGGCAGGGATTTCTGTGGTGTCTTTCATTAGACCCTCTGTATAGTTAGGAGAGCAGTTGGACAAGTGCTCTTCATTGGGTTTAAGAAAGAAGTAGACTAAGCTGAGCCAAATCGCCGAGAAATATTTCTGGCCTGTGTGTAATCTCTGACAACAGAGTGAAAAATTATTCCTAATGCTTCCCCCCCTCCAAATGTGATTTTACTATATATTTTTTTTAATTTCACTTGGTAGAAATTAGAAGAAGTCTGTGTTCATTCTTTTTTCACACTTCCTTACTGGGATGCAGTGGGTGATGGAAGCAATATTTCTTTCTCAATCGTATTGAAAGGTAAAGGTAGATGGGGAAGAAGTCAGCATATGGGAAGCTTTCAGGGTAGGTGCTTCAATGTGTGGTATATAACCCACCCCCCGCTTATTTTAAGAGCAGAGGAGGAGACGCTGCATTCCTCCAAGCCCCTTTCTGACCAAGGGGAGGAAATCTGAATTACCAGCGTTATTGCATTGACTTTCCGCAGCTAAAACTAGCAGTTATCATTAAGACCCTGCTTAACTTGATACAAGCGGGGAAACTTGGAAGAAAACTGAAACCCTCCCTGTACGTAGCTGCGATAAGGCGTATGCACACGCTGCACTGGCACGGCTCCAAGCAACATGTGTGGTACTTGGTTTTTTCCTGTCCTTGTATCATGGGACGGGGCAGGTTTGAACTGGCACGCTGACCTCAGCCTGAAACTTCCTTTCTTTGGCCGGCGTCCCCACCTGCATGGACTCTCGTGGGGATCCAGATGCAGTACGGCTCCACCTTTACACCGTTTGGTCCCAATTAGGCTTCTTGTTAAGAGTCCCTGAACTTCATCCTTTCTCTGAGCAAAGCTACTATAGCAGACGCACATCTTTCATAGAGCTACGCAGCAAGGCTATTCATTGTGCCTAGTTTAGGGACAAAAGCGTGTATTTTACATTTCAGGTGGGAAGTTTGAGTTGGCTAATCTCCTATCGGCATGGCAAGGCCTTGGAGAAGATTGTGCCGTAATTAAAGGCACCGGTGGGGTGCGTATGCATTTTTTGAGCCTGAAGTTATTGTGGCATTTCCACTTGGCTCGGAGGCTCTCCTGATTAGGTAGCCTGCTTTCTGAGGACTTTCATCCTGCCTGGGAGGTGCCAGACATGACCGCGAGAACAGCCGGAAAACCCTGGCGTCCGTGCGAAGGGGGCCGTGCAACACTAATGCAACGCGGAGGATGCTTTAAAGTAACCCAGGGAAGAGGGCAAAACGCAAGGTTGTTATTGAAGGCGAGCGCACCCAGCTAGAAAGCGGCCTGCATCCCAAACGAGGCGGGCGGGCGCCGTGGAAGGGCTGTTGGATTCGAGTGGAATTCCAAACCGATCTAAGAACCGCGGCCGGACCGGACAGGACCGACGACTGCCGGCGCGGAAACAAGTGGCGGTTGCCTTCGCACTTGTGTTTTTCTCACGTGCCACGGATGCGAAGCTTTATAGTAGGCTTGAGCCCCCACCTACTTCATCGCTGCTACTTATAGAGACACGCGCGTGCTTTCAGACCCGGTCCCGTACCCCGAGAGCCGTCAGCATACGTGCCCTGTCGGGAACGGCGGCTCGGGGGCAAGGAGGAGTCGAGAGGCCAGTGAAATCGGCTGAGGCAGGTTTCCCACAGGTGGGTTTGGACAAGGAAAGGGCACGTGGGAAGGAAGAAGCTTTTCGAGGAGGGTGGAAATAGCTAGACACCGACCCCAAGAAGTCCCCGGGAGCCTTGAGACTGCTCTGCCAGCGTAACTACGGCGTGCTTTGTCCTGGGTTTTTTTTGCCCGCCAGCAAACGCCTCCATCTACCTCTTTCGACATCAGTTCTCTCTTTGCCGGTTTTTGTAGCGTCGGTCGGGTCCGCGCAAAGAGCCCGAGGAACTAGGGCAAAACGCTCCTGGTTCGGATACAGTTTGTAGCAGCAAAACCAGGCTTTTCCCGTTCTAGCTGATTTCCGCACCGGCCCACAAAGAAGTGAGCTACACTTGTAAGAGCCCAGCTTTGGAGGGTTTACATCAGGGGCTTTTGCTGGCCGGGAAACCTTTCTCTTCCCACTCCTCGCCAATGGAGCGCCGTCCGCAGAGGTCTAGAGCAGACCCGGTCCTAGAATCGCCGACCCATTAAACTTTTCTCAGTGACTTGTGTGCCTGTATGTAACACTTGGGTTTGCAGTATCGACGGTGTATGCAGGCCACGGTATTCAGGAATGAGCCCGGACCAAGAAAGCTCCTTTTGAAAACTCCCAGCCCTTCTGAGATCAGCTTTTGCATTTGTAAGATTGTGATCATATCTAGTTGCTTTGTGTTGTGAAGCTTAATCGAGCCTTGTGGGGTGAGCTCACACCCTCCTGGTTCGGGCAGGTGATTTTGTTGGAGAGCAAATCGGGTTCCTTCACTTTCTGAGCTCTTTTAGCGCCCGGCCTTATACGCGCGAGCCGGGGCCGTACCGTGCATTTTCCCCTCCCGATTTCAGACCTCTCCGAACATTGCCCTCAGTAATGTAACACTGCGAGCGGCAGAGTTTTTCTGGAAGCGTGAAGATGTTCATCCAGGTGTTACTTGTGATTGCATTATAGCCATAATTTTTAGATCGATTGCTTTCTATCCGTTACAAGACTGCCTGGTACTGCTGCTGTCCCACGTGATGGATCACGAAGCCGCGATCGTGGGGAAGATCGCACGGTAAATCTGTTATTCCAAGCAGCTGTTTGAATGCTTGAATACGGTCCTCACTGGTGGAGGAGGGAATTTTTGATTTTGGTCACATGTTTGAATCTCAGTAAAATGACAGGCTTTTTGATGCCACTGCCTCCCACCCTCCTCCCCCTCTTCTCCAATTCTCCTTCCTCTGTCTCGCCCATTTAGACAGGCATGTAGGCGACCTCACCGAGTGACCGGGGAGAGGGTTTAGAGGGGGGCGTTCGTGTCGGAGCCGTCTTGAAACCAGGCGGCCTGGTGCAGACCCACGTGAAAGCTCTCGTGCCCAAGTTGATAGCACTTGTAATATTGTTCTCGTCTTGTCCGTGGAAATCTCCTCCCCAGAGCAGGCTTACTGTAACTGCAGCCTCGGAAACCACGCCTATAATGAAAGGGAAATGCTGTAATCAAGTAGGAACACTCCCGCCGCCCAAGCCAAGGCCAGGATCAGCCTGGGAGTTTATTTGAATGGTTCTGGACAGTCGTCAAGTCTTTGCAAGCTTGACGTGTTCAGAGGGGAATTTCCACTCGGAGGGGAGTTGGTCTCCAACTTCTGGAAAGGGGAAAAAACTCTTCCCAGTGCAAGCCCCTCTCGCCGTTTCTCAGTTCGTTCAGGCTCCAGGTACAGAGAGTGCCTGGCCGCAACGGCACGGTGTGAACGTGTGACCCTGGCATTTCAAGCGCCCTCTGCAAAGGGAGAGCGTGCATCTGTCTACTACCCGTCGCTCCTTCCCTGTTTGCTCTTCCAGGTTGTCCTCTGGGTTGGTAAGCCAAAACGGTAGCTCGTGGAAGGGACCCCGGTAGGGGGACCAGATTGTCATACCCTGCCCTTCCTTATCGTAGCAAAAAGGCAGAGGGCAATAGGATATTGCTGGGTCTGGGGGGGGACACATATGGGGATGGGACCTTTTTACTTTCCCATTCTGAAGCTTTCAGTTCACCCCTTGGAAAACCGGACCAGGAGAGACCGAGAATTCACACCGTCAAGGTCGAGTCTCAAATCCTCGTTTTCGGTTTTGTCTCTTTGCAGCCCATCCATGAGCTCAGATTTCCAGCACTACAGTTTCAGGATGCCGAACATCGGGTTCCAGAACCTGCCTCTCAATATATACATCGTGGTTTTCGGCACCGCCATCTTCGTCTTCATCCTCAGCTTACTCTTCTGTTGCTACTTGATCAGGTAAATGAACCGCCGTAACCCCTTACCCGAAGTCATCCCGACTCTGTCCAGTCCCTACCCCGTGATGTGCTAAGCGCCTTGTGGGCATCACTCGGGAGAGGAGGTCACCAAATACCTCAGCAAGGAGAGTTTTGTATTTCCCAGGTCCGAGCCTTTTAAATAGCGTTCAAAGAAAATCCAACTCCACATTTTCGAGAGAAAAAAGGACGTTTTGAAAGATGCAGCAAGTTTGGCTAGACTTAACGAGCATCTATTTGCTATTTGCTTAAACTGCGTTACAAATATCATGTGATATGTGCTATAATATAACAATTTCATTTATTACAAACACTACTAAAGCATCGTTTGGATTCTGCTGCCTGACTTCACAGCACTTCTTTTCGGTGAAGAATAACCTCCTTGGGTCTTTACCATTTGAAATTATTTTAATACTCCCTTTAGGTAGCATAATTTGCTCAGTGACTTGAGTATTAGATGCATACAGTCATATTAACCAGGTTAAATCATTCCAGAAAATGTAGAGTAAGAATATTTTATTTGGCACTCTGGACAGATTTTATGTCCAGAACATTTAACATTTAACTGTTCAGGAAAGCAAATACATTGCACTGCTTTTAAAGAGGATTGAAAAGCAGCAAAAAATGTGATTTCTTATGTGATCTACTTTAAGAAAAAAAAACCCTTGAAGTGAATGTGTTTTTGCTCGCTGCTTAACGTTTCAATGCATCTCTCTCTTTAATGAATAACTCCTGTACTGTGTGCTTAAGAAATGTTTGATACCTGCCTCATTTGCTCGTGTACACAAATTGCTCATTCAACAGCACAGTTTAGAGATTAATGATGCAGACTTGACTTGTTAATCTGAACAGCGATGAACACAGTCCATAAAGGTTACTCTTATGTTTGTAAGCTTGATTATTAATAGTAAGGCAGAACTGTTTCTCCCGGATAAAAACACAAAACTTTGCAGGAGTTAAAATACATGGGAAAGAAAAGGTTGTTCCGAGACTTTGACCTGCAACTTTCTGCCTGATTCACGGCTGTGTCTGCCTCTCCGCAGTGGTCAGGAACAAAGAATTTCATTATGCGAGTTTCAATTTATTGGCAAGAATTGTACTTCGCCCCATGCATTGCTTAGTTATCTTCCTAACCTCCTGCGGAAACCTCCATATACACAACTGTTCTGCATAAAAGCCTTTCCTACGTTACCCCTTTCTAGCATCTCTTACATTTTTGAAATACAGTTAACAGAGATTTGGGACCATTCTGTTATGTTTTCCCTCTCCCTCGCCACAAGACATCCATGCATTCTCCCTGCCTCCGTTTCTGAAGCACAGACAGTCTCTGTGTCTCTTGCCCAGGGTCACGCAGCAAGGAGCACTCTTCATTTCCTCTCGACCTTGTGTTTTAAATAGCAGTCTCGGTGGCATGGGCAAGATCAACAGCATTCAACACCCAGCATAGGAAAGCCTGCTGGTTGTGCTGTTCCAGCAAGCATGAAACGCTCTTCGTTACAGTGAGCGCTGGAGCTCTGTCGACACTGTTCACACCAGCTGGAGAGCAGCAAAAAGGGGCTGCTGTACTGAAGTTAGCACTTCCATAGTGTGCGATACACTCTTAGTTTGTAACGCTAGAGTACAAGCGCTCCAAGCATCTATTGAGCTCTGTCACCCCTGCCTTAAGCAAAGCAAAGCCTTAGCAAATTTTCAGGTGACCAGAAGATTGGCAGACGTGGTGAATGATGGTGAGGACCAGGCAGTCCTACAAAGTAGTCTAGTAAACTACTGCATTCTGATATAACCAATGCAAGAGACAAAAATTGAAGCCACCGCTGCAGGAGCAGGGCAGGAGTCTTGATCCTGGAAAACAGTGAGACTGATCAATTGTAGGGGTCGCAGCGGACAAGTTGTACGTAAGCTCCCAAGACTATCCTGGGCCATAAAGGGCCTGTAAGATCTTTGACGGTTTTAGCAGGGGAGCAGGAGCAGGGACGTGATTCTTACCTCTGTGCGGGGCCTTGGTAAGACCAGTAATGGGATCCTGCATCCAGTTCTGGTGTCCACATTTTAAGAAAGATGGGGAACATTTGGAAGGGAGATGGAAAAGAGCTGCAGAAATGGCTAGAAGTCTGAGAGAGCTGCATTATAGTGAACAGCCTTAACCTTGAATGATCTTAGCTGATTAAAATAGATCGCGAGGTGGCTAAATTATAGATGAAGCACCGTCACAAGGAGAAAACACTGGGTATGAATGCATTCTTAGTCCAGCAGAAGAAATAACAAGGACCACGGACTAGAAGCTGAAGCCAGGTGCCTTCAAATTTAAAATCAGCAGTGAGGGTACTTTTACCACTGGAATAAATTCTGAAGAAATGGAGGAGTCTCTAGAGGTCTTTTGATATCCTACAGTTAAGATCGAATGACTTTCTGGAAGCAAAGACATCAGGCGCAGGACAGGAGTCACTGGGAGAAATAGCTGGAGATCCTGTATATCACAGGCCATTATAAGTGATCTGCTGGCCTGAGACCCGCTGGATGTGGCCCTGATAGACTGGGGTCTGACTCGCACCAAAACGGACAGAGGTGCAGCCATTTACACGCTAGGCTTCAATGGCAGTTAAGTCCAGTTAGCCTTGATTGTTCTGAGACAAAGTATTAATTCAAACATTGCACCGGTACTTAATGCAGGACATTGATCTTGGTGGTCTGTAAGGTCCAGATTTGGGGTGGCACAAAACGCCCCGATGCGAATCAAACCAGTTGTCTTCTTTTACCCGGAGTCTCTAAGAAGCCTCTTCTCTTTCCGAAACTACGGCTCCATCTGTTGTTCACAAAATGGATGCAAGCCTGAGAAACCTTCTCTTGTTGGAGCAGTGTATTTTAACTCAGGTTTTGTATGTGATGCGATTCTGCAGCCGCGCAGATGGCCACCTAACTGTCCTGACTGGCCTGGGCTGCATGGTGGTCCTCCCAGATCTCGGCTCGAGTCTAAACTAGAAACTCAATCTCCAGTTTGCATGCACGTAAAGATCGCCTGCAAAATGACCCGAGTGCGGCGGCGTCTCGAGAACAGAGTATTTGCAAGCAGCTCCTGAGAGAGATGTGCGCTGTCCCTTCATCCCAACAGCACTTGAACTCGGATGTAATTCCTCAGACTGGGAATAGCTAACACAACGGCATTTAGCAACATGTCAAGTTAATGTGCTTGTTATCCATCACCGTCAAATGCTGTCACAGTAGGATGCAGCGCAGGGGGGCAGCGAGGGGCTGTAAAGGTTTGCAGGGGTGGGGAATAAGGAATTCCTGCTCCATAAATGTCTCCTTCCTCCTCTGCAGCTGCCTCAGAAATACTAGCCACGTTTGCCCGTGCTCAAAAGATGCATCTCTCCCACCAAGCCAGAAGCCTGTACTGCCTCCTCCTACACCATCTTCAGGTCCATGTATGACCTTTACCCAGCTGCCGTCATCTCCTGTTTTCCCCAGCCCGTTCTGGGCTGAAATGTATTACAAAATGACACCTGGGTGCAATATAAAATAACTGAATTGTTAAATCCACGCTTGCAGCCAATGCAGCGTCGACTGGCCCAGATTGGGGCAGAGCCAGTCTTGAGCAGCGAGTGCGGGGAAAGCTCGCGTGGGCAGAACCGCACCGTGCTCGGGGTCCAGCCACGTAGCGCAGGGTCCCCCGCCTGCACGAGGTCTTGCTTGTCCAGCACGATCCCTTGGGCCAGAACGGGACTTTCTTCAGGGGCTGATGCAAAGTGTCCCATTATCTAACTCTCCGCTGTCTTTGGGGCCCCGCACAGCTGCAAATACTTTGCAACTAACAATTGGAGCTCATGACGCACATTTGCTTGGCTCTCGTTTCTCATATTCCGGTCCTTACCGGAGCATCGTGCTGCTTCTGAGCATTGCTGGTTTTGGAGGCAGTAAAGCATTATCCTGTGTAACTCGCTGGACTAATATGTTCAAGTGAAGCTGTTGGAGAGAGAAAGGAGTAAAAACTAAAATATGTCGGAGGTGGCACTGGCTGTTCCTACATCTGGATTGGGGGTTACTGGGTTACAAATGGGGCTGCTTGGGGATACTGCTATTAGTAGCCTGCATTTTCCAAGAGTTTCATTAGTTCAGTTATTCCTCACTCCTAACACGCCCCAGTTTGCTCCACGGGAGCCAAAAGGCTTGCACTCAGGTCCAAAAACAAAGTATATCGAGTTAGGCATTGAATTTCTCTAGAAGACAAAAGGGAGGGGGAGGATTGCAGAAAGGGCTGCAATTAAATGTGATGCTCTTTCACTTTTAAAAGTGAAATCATCACTAAATTCTACCCTCAGAGCTGAGGCTGCCTATTTTATCCAGCCATTCTGGGGGGAGCTTACTTTCAACCTTGGGGGGGGGGGAAAAAAAAAGAAATTAAATTAAATTTTGCAGCCACTGCTATTGATGTATTATCTCTGCTTTAACTTTCAAGGAAAATGTAATTAAAGTAATATCATTTTACTTCATTCAATTCCATAAAATGCAACTCAGAAGCATACTAAAATTCACAGCGTTAGATTCCCTTAAATATTTCAAAGGGGCACTTGTGGTTATTTAAAATAAATGTTTCAGCCTTCCTCCATAATTAGACTTTCCTCCTGTTGGTAGTAGGCTCATTACTGCGGCTGTCACCTTTTGCTGAAATGTGTCATAAAATGGTAATGGTAACGTGGGGCACCTCTGCCCTAAAAACAGCTGTTCAAAGCACTGTTTATTCCCTGCAAATTTGAAACATGCTCAGATTTAACAAGTCATTTATTGTCAGTTTTGGAAAGCTAAAGATGCAGTATCTCTCTGCTTTGTATTGTAGAGACAGGCTACCATATTTCTTTGCATACAACACGCCACAGAATTTAACACACACCTAGATTTTGAAAGGCAATGCAGGAAAAAGAAGATTTGTCTAAAGTTGTGGCTGCTTAGAATGGGCAGAGCCTAGCTTTCAGCGGACTCGCCTTCCCT